CCGAGCCGGCGATCTCCTCTTCTGGGAGCTTTGCTTTCGCAGAAGGGTGTACGGGTTTCCCGTGTCAGCCCTAAGCCCACTTAAAGGTTTAGGGTTTAGGGTTTAGGGTTTGAGTTTAGGGGTTTAGGGTTTAGGGTTTAAGGGTTTAGGGTTTAGGGGTTTAGGGTTTAGGAGAGATTCGGCTCCTTGGGTGCCTGCTGTCGTGGTCAGCACCACGGTGCACTTCTTCCAACTTGAGCTCCGGACTACAGCTGCTCGCGCCGTGGGGTTTGGATACAATCCGAAATTTAGGGTTTAGGGTTTAGGGTTTAGAGTTTAGGGTTTAGGGTTTAGGGTGTAAGCCCTAAGCCCTACACCCTAAACGCTAGAATGCCACCCAAACCGGCAGCTTGTAGAGAAACCTTGTCCAACAGCATGACTGCTTGTCTTGCGGCCGAAGCGGAGATCCCAACATTCGTGTATCACTGAGGAAGACCATATGGAAGACCCCTTATGCCTTATATGACAAAGGCCTCCTATGCAGAGCGACGGTACGTTCCTGAATCAAGCTCGGAGAAGTGTAAGGTCTGATATCGCCCGGATCCTGATTTCAACCAGTCTCCCAAAACCAACACCGCGAACCCCAACGCCCTTATCAACCCCCTCCCTGTAACCCAAAAAGGCATCTGTGCTAAGCAGGGTCTTCTCATAAGCAACCCTGAATCTGTATGTCATCATGCCTTTTGGGTTGAAGGTGCACTTGAAAAAACATCACCTCACCCTTATCCGCAAAAGCCCTGACAACACGATCCGCACACACCCTGGGTGAGAGGTCACAGAACCTACAAGACGGTGTCACACAAAGCCCCCAAGAATGCCCTGAAAACCGGAACCAGGCCAGCATTGAGGGGCCCTCGTCAAACCCTAAACCCTGAACCCTAAACCCCATCTCTTCAAACCCAGAACCCACTGAATGGCTCTCTCCGTGGTGACGCCTTTCTCGGCAGAGCTGATGTAATCCGATGCTATAGTGCGCTGATTGCAGGAGCCCTAGCACGTACAGAGGACCGTAATATAGGGGCCTTAAATGGGAAAGATGAGAGTTAGGGACACAGGTTGAGGGCCAACGATTTATATATAAATAAGACGAAAACCGAAAGACTGTGTTTAGAGAACTTGGAACCCTGGTTGTCTAAACCCTAAACCCTAAACCCTACTGGCAACTACGGGTGCCAGGGCTTCTGGAAGCATGGGGCATCGAATGCCCAAGGAAGCCTCCTGCTGATGGCCTCTGACCCTGAATCCGGCCCTGAGCCCTAGACCCCTACAGTAAACCCCAAAAAGTTGGAATTTCAGTTAAGGACAAACAGTGCTGGGATTCCCTATACTTTACTCTCAGGGACTGAGGCTATCGGGTTTCCGATTTTCTGGCTTCTACTGTAAACCCTAAACCCTAAACAATAAACCCTAATCCCGAGACCCTTGTACCTTAACCCCAAGCCCTGGCAACACTCAACCTTAGACTTTACTTTAATCTATGAGCCCTGCCCTAGACTAACACACAGTACCCTGCAGGCTCTACGTCTTGAGCTTTTATATACGCCAGTCTGTTGAAGCAGTGGCTACTGGGCTCTCCAGTGCCCCTAAATCCAGTCACATCGGTAATTAAAAGACCGCAAAGAACCCTGAAACAAGACCTAGAACCCTAAACCCTAAACCTTAAACCCTAAACCCTAGACCCTCCCTATATGAACTTTCTTGTTCAGCCTACCAAGATCCTCAACCCTCCTAAACCTAAGCTCACACTCTAAACCCTCATGGCACCGGGTCGAGCTCTCCTAAAACCTCAACAATCCCAACCCCAGCTACCCTAAACCCTAAACCCTAAACCGTTTAGGGTTCAGGGTTTAGGGTTTAGAGTTTAGGGTTTAGGGTTTAGGGTATCCTTTTATCATCAAATCCCGTCTAAACCGACCCTTTTTGTCATGGAACCCTTCTAGAAACCCAATCCTGTCTAAACCCTAAACTCTAGACTCAAAGTCCTATCTCCAAACCCTAAACCCTAGTAAGCTTTAAACCCCCAAACAAACTCAAAGTCCAATCTCCAAACCCTAAACCCTAGTATAAGCTTTAAACCCCCAAAACAAACCCTAGACCCTAAACCCCTAAACCCTAAACCCTAAACCCTAAACCCCCAAACAAACCCGCAGGAGCCTCCCAAAAGGCTCTGGCCCCTCAATTCCCAAGTCGTCCGCGGGTCTAAGCTGCGACGACTCAACCGGAGACCTCAGGGAATTGATGAAGGTAATGTGGGGGCCGAAATACTTTACCAATGCTATCTTGGCGATTCCGTATTATAGGTGTAGTATAGTGGAGACCCTAAGCCCTAAACCCCTAAACCCTAAACTCTAAACACTAAACCCTAAACCTATAGTGGGCCCCAGAATCCTATTCTAACTATTACAGTAAGGCCTCTGTCTTGTTATGACTTGTTTGGGTTAGTTTGAAAGTGTGATGGTCCTTTCGCCGCAAAGCTTGAAGGTCCCGCGCCCGCCTCAGATTCGGCCTGCACTGTAAACGGGAGCAGACATCACACTTGGGGTTTAGGGTTTAGGGGTTATGGTTTAGGGCTTAGGGTTCAGGGATTATGGTTTAGGGTTAGGGTATCATAATTGTATGGGTACCAGGGCTTCAGAAGATCGTATCAGGGTATTTTGAGGTTGACTAAGGGTAAAGTGTTCAAGATTAAGGAAGTAGCTTTGAAGGCCTTTGACTAGACGACTTGGGGTTCAACGGCTCAAGATTAAGGAATGAGTGTTGAAGGCAACTAGCTAGGGTTAAGGGGGCTGACCTTGTCTTCAAGATCTCCTGTTGTGTTCTTTTGGGGTTGCGGGGTTTTGACGTTTGAAAACCCTAAGCCCTAAACCCTAGGCCTAGTGTCCCATGAATCGCCGGGGATCCTTCTTCTGCAAGCCTAAAGATCCCCCTCAGCCGTTTTGCAATCCCAGCACTATGTAGGTTTCAGGGTCTATATCGGGTTTATATAGGGTTTCTGTTGGGTTTATATAGGGTTTATATAGGGTTTATGTAGGGTTTAGGGGTAATCCATCATCCAACTGGAGTTGTGGGCTTAGACAGTGGGGTTCGAGGGCTCAGGGTCAAGGAACTCGGGTTGAGGATTACGGAATTCGGGGTCCCTAAACCCTAAACCCCAAACCCTAAACCTACACCCTAAACCCTAAACCCTCAACCCTAAACCCTCAACCCTAAACTCTAAAATGAGGCCTTGCTTTCTTCGTTTCAGATCGATGCACGGTCCAGAGGCTTGAGGTCTGAAGCTTTAGTTTTGGGTATGTGTGAGGTTTTCTATGGCCCTAAACCCTAAGTCATATGAACTTATGATTTGCGGTTTAGGGTTCAGGGTTTAGGGTTTACGGATGGGGGTTACGGAAACCTAACCCCCAATGAAAATCCTGTTGTGGAGAGTGGGGTGGGCTTCAGGAGTAGGGTGACTGGCAAATAGCCAGCTTGGCACATATGGTTCCGGGTGTTTGGGATGTGGGACTTAGGGCTCAGGGAAAGCTTAAGCTCTCATGACTCTGCAATCTAGAAACGAAGACCCCTGAAGTGGTGGATTTGTCTACGAGGTCGCCAACGATTGAATGGGGCTTACGGTTTACAGAGACCAATGTCTTGCTAGACTACGCATCGCTTGCAACGGAAGTCGCAGTTTTTCGATAGGGGCCAGGAGCTCTTAAACCCCCAAACCTCGGCCCTAAACCCCAAACCCTCAAACACCAAATTCTGAACCGGAAAACCTCAAAACAACCCTGCGTCAAGGAGTTCCCCTCAAGTTGGAGCCAGGATCCTTCATGCAAAGAGCCCTGCGTCGGGAGTCTCTTGGAAGGCTTCAATCCCTACTTCCTACATAATATTAAAGCCCACCCTCTCCAGAAGGACAGTTTCTGGTATAGGGCTTAAAGCCCGTGATGTGTTGCACTGCTAGTTTGTACCCTAAACCCTAAACCCTAATGAAGGAATCTGTCTAAGAATTCAAAAAGCCTAGCCCTTGCCCAAAGTATCAGGGTCCATATTAAGAGCCCTAACAAATGATCAGGTCCCTACCTTAAGAACCCAAAACCCACTTTTTTTTGTAGGTTCTTATTATAAACCCTAATCTGGGATTTATAGGGACCCTACAAAAAAGTAGGTTTTTTGTTCTTAAGGTATATTATATCCCTGAACGAAAGAGATCGGTTTCTGGCCCTGGCCTTCTTGGCAGCGAGGCTGCGGCGCAGCTCCAAGAGCGCCTTGCTGGCCTTTTGCATGACATGTAACATAAGTATGAGGGCAGTTCTCTAAATTAGGGTCCCTTTTTGGGCCCCCAATATAGTACGGCACCCTTCAAAAATGGACCCTAAAAGGGTCCTTAATTTAGACAACCACCTATGAACAAACTAAAGACGCAGAGCTGTACAAACAAACACATATGTAACATGTCTACATATGCATCTGCTAGGGTTTTTAGGCTCTGGGATTTATGGTTCAGCTTCTAGGGTTTAAGTTTTTAGGCATGAAGTGATGAATGAAGGTGTGTAGGTCTAGGGTTTTTAGGGCTTAGGTTCTCGGGTTTAGGTTTCGGGGTTCAGGTTTTTGTTTCAGGGCTTCAGGCATAAAGTGTAATATCGGCGCCTTACTGGTATGAATGCGGTTCTGCTATCTACTCTATGACGCTGAAGCTTGTGGGCTTGTATGGCTTGGGACTCGCCACAGTAAAAGCTTTAGGGCCTGCTGCCTAGACCCCCGAGTACCCTCTCTTAAAACGCCCAGGTTCAAGGATTATGAATTATGGGGCCTAAAGATACCTTCTGTCAGTTGCCTTCTTCGATGCATTCTTATACTGCGAGGTTAAGGCGTTAGGGATTACGTCAGTCGAGGCTCTATAAGGCTTACGTCCAGCCCCCACCATACCCCAAGGATAACCCCCTAAACCCTAAACCCTAAACCCCGAAATCCCTAAACCCTAAACCCCAAAATCCCTAAACCCTAAACCCTAAACCCTAAGGATAACCCCCTAAACCCTAAACCCAACTACCTCTCTTCAACTGCAAGGTTGCATTCTTATACCCGATGATACACCCCAAGGTTCAAGGGTTTAGGGATTAGGGTTTAGGGCTCAGGGTTTAGGGGTTTAGGGTTTAGGGTTTACGGTTTAGAGATTTAGGGTTTAGGGT